TCTTTTGTTGTTTTTTTTTTTTTTTTTTTTTTTTTTTTTGGAGGGGGGGGGCTGTCTTTTCGGGAGATTGTTTTGATTACATTTTTGGGATTTACACAAGGATCAAAATTTTGTTTCGATGTATAGGTTCAATGAGCTTGAAAACAGAAACGTTTCAGTAGTGTTTCAAAAACATTTTGAAAACAAAGAAAAAATTTATTTCTGAAAGATTGATTGAAACAACCGAAACATAGAAATTTTAATATTCAAGCAATGATTTATTTCGATTTCCATGGAAACAAAAATATTTTAGATATTTCGACCATTTCAAAACAAAAAATAATTCCTTTGTTTTACTTGATTCCACAATCTTGTATGTTCATAACCGCACATGATTGCCAAGCTTCAAAACTCTTTATTAAGTGAAATGATTGTGTAAATATACATTTGCATGTACATAAATTGTGTGAGCGCGTGTGCGACATTGTCAAAGATGGTAGGGGTTTAGAACATACTATCGTATTAGTGTCCCAGTGTCCTGTGTATGTTCGATGCTGCGAAGTGTGTTAGATTTCTTAAAAATAAGTTCTTCTCTGAGCTGAGGGTATAGGTAGCAATAGTTGGAATGATGCAGTCAAGCAATTTGACAATTTTCTCAATAAAAATGTATATTTGTAGAATAACTTGAAATATAGGTTTCTAAAAACATGCATATATTTAACTTTTGAGGGTCTTCAGTTATGGAAGCCGTAACTGTTACTTAAAACCTTGCTATTAACCCATTAAAGGTAAAGTGATGTGAGACACAAAAGCTACCACAGGCCTGAGAAACTGAAACAAAGGACCATATAGAAACACAAAATTAACAAGGTCAGGTTATACAGCAACATGCAGTGAGAAATCTGTGTAAAGGACCAAATGAAAAATAAATTAACAAAGAAAGGCCAGACAATCGCATTCAATTAGACATCTTTATGTATCTAACGCCTACTGAAAGTTTCAAAATTACCGGGCAATAAGCCAAGGCTACTAATAGTTCTAACACTATTGGGCAAACATATGATTTACATCAGACACAATATAAAGACACACAATGAAGTACCTTTTGATATATCCCATCTCCACGAGAAACAGGTAAAACTTTGACATACTTAAAGAATGCAGATGTGACTGGATTACGAAAACACCGATCAGTTGCGCAAAGTGTCCATCTCAAGCTATGAGCATCAAATAAAATACTTGGAGGAAGCAGGGAAGCAATTACAAGTGGATCATCCATTGAGGCAACATGATTGCTCACCTACAGTTGACCACAAAAAATCCACCATCATTCTGACCTATAATTAAAGAATGGAAATGAAGATTTGCAGTTTATGAACTGGTAAAGTTCAATTGAGCAGCCTAGATACAGTGAAGAAATTCAAATGTGCATTACAATACCATCAAACAAGACAACTGTTGCATACCGTAATAAGAGGCTTGTTTTTCGGTCTATGGAGCAATGCCTGATGAAGTTTTTCTGCACCATATATCTGTGATACTGGTCAACTTTTGCAGATGTTCAAAGAATCCATAGCTAGGTGTTTGCCGTCAGATAATTTAACTTACTTGGACACGATTAAGGCCATGCATAAAAACATGGCAAACATTTCCAATGACTGGGACAGCCACAGCTTGAAGTATGCGCGTGAGGACTGAATCTTCTTCTGCAGCAATGTCCTTACTAACTGTAATCATAAGTTTCAAAATCAAAAATGAAGTCACTGATTTTCTATTAATCAACCTAAAATTCTTCATGTGAAATAAGTTTGCCAATGAGAATGGCATATTAAATTTGATTAATCTAAGATGGCCACCGACAATGGCCATATTACATAAATTCTTTTTGATAAGTAAATACTTTTATTCAAAAAAAAAAAAAANACAATTGCCATAACTTTTGATACAACCATTGGATTGATCTGAAATTTTGACACAATATACAAGACATCCAGATATACAACTTTCAAGTGTTGTACTTTTTCAGATTCGAAGTGGATCATTTCCAAACATGGGAAGCACAGCGGGATTGTGTCAAGACCTTGGGGAACCAGTGGGCTAAACCTTCCTGAAGGTTTATGCCCAANGCAAACAGTCTACAAAGAAGAAATTGGGTCCCTAATTAACAGGGCATTATAAACTTGACCCAGCAGTAGTTAAAAACATGGAGGAAACTTTGATTGGGTGCCTAGACCCAACAACAACCCATAGAAATCAGCATAAAGCCTATAGATCCAACCATCCAATTGCCAATTGCAATCATAGTTCGGGTTTGCAATATGGGCCGTCGCGTCGGCACAAGACGTGGGGTGATATGCACGAAATTATACATGGAAAAAAAATTGGCTATGGCAAGAGAACCAAGTCACATAGCAGTGTTGCAAATGTATCAACCGATTCCCTGTGACTCGATGACGATGACATTGACTCCAATGCCTTGGTCGAGGAAAAGATGCAATCAACCACAAATTTAGTGAGACTTGCAATTACCCAGCATGTGTTCCGGTCTAGGAGCAATTTTGTTCCATTTGTGATATGACCCAATCGACTATGCTATCGGCCATTGAACCACGATTGCAATTGCAACGGGTCCACAACACTACAACCATTACCAGATTAAGTTAGTAACAATGTTGTAGAAAGACAAAGTTGTAAAGCAACAAAACGTCAAAAAAAAATTGATTATTGAACTTTGGCCCCCAAAGCAGTTAAATTCTAGTTTCTTCATTCTTGAACTATGTAAAAATTGAAATAGCAAAAAGGAAGCATGCCAGAAAGTGTAAAAAAATATAGAAATTAATTAAAAAGGACAAATTTTGGCTATGACATCTTATTAATTTTTTTTTTCTTTTCGAATACACTATTAGGCATGTTTGCTTGATGGGTTTGGGCAAGTATGCAATGGTGGGTTTAATAAAAACAGTCCAATGAACCATGACATCCCATGTTTGGTTAAGATCTAAGTCCAATGAACCATGATGTCACATGTGTGTGCACGTGTTTACAACTACCACCATTCTAATCACTAAATACAATAAGAAAAACACTTAAAAGTGTACCATAACTACCAAGCCTGACAAGAAACAAAAAATTGGGTCATGAAAAGTTATTCTTAGGGTATCTTCAACTCTTCCTCGCAACCTTGATTCTTTTAAGTAAAAATAAGCTAAAAACAAGCACTAGTCCTTTAGTTCAATTCATGGGCAATTTTGCAATCAAATCATAGGAATCATATTTTACTCAAACCTCTAAAGGTTATATTTCGCCCTATTTATGTACAAAGCGATCATACTTAACTCTCTATCAAGGATCAAAATTTCGTTTCGGTGCATTGTTTCAGTCACCTAGAAAACGGAAACGTTTCGAAGTGTTTCGAAAAAGTTTTAATCCATTTCGAAAACAGAATGAAAAAAAATAAAAAAATTCAGAATTATTTTTCTCAAACATTGGTCAAAATATATCAAAATATCTTGAAACATTCCGAAGTAATTGCATAAATGTATTAAAATATTACAATATACATCAAAACATTATGAAACACCTCGAAATATTAGAATTTTGATTCCATCATTGATTCGTTTCGGTCTCCTTAAAAAGAAAACGTTTCAAATTTTCGACCGTTTCGAAACGAAATTTTAATCCTTAGTCTCTATATATCTATGTACTCTTCCTATATCTTTCCTGTTTTCCAATCTACATCTAAACCCATTTATGACTTTGCTGAAATTCAGATCATTCATCACCAGCATCATTTTGACAAGGTTACAATAGATTTCGTTTTTCTTTTTCAAAATTTATAATCAAAGATATTGTATGTTTAAAAATATTTAAAGAAAATTTCAAAATAGCAACACTAAAGAATGAATGATATGCTTATTTACAGGAAATGTTAACTGAAACTCTAATTTGGGAAAAGAGTTACGATGTCATGGAAATAGGGGAAAAGATATTTGTGAGTTAAGGGTAAATTAAAATGAGGTGAAACATTGGAGGGAAAGAATTAGATAAAAGAGAAAAAGGAGAAAAAAATAAGTTGAAAGAAGAATACAAGAATTCTTTAAAAGATTCGGTCAGAAATCTGAGTTTGTTCAAGACAACCCCATTAGTACGATGGGCGGCATCTCGTTTTGTAGTCAAATCGGAGAAAAGTTAGAACCATGGCTGGAGATATTCTTATACATGCCAATTCTAAACCAATCACTGCATTTTTAATATATTGGCATCGAAATTGAAACATCAACATTCAACAGTATCACATTTTAAAAAGAATCCTATATTTACAGAAAGCAAAGAGATTTTTATCTCTCCGGGCCAATAATTTTATTTATTAAGCAGGGAATTGTCTAAAGCAACTCGAACTCAACCCAACTAGTCGTTTGCAAACATATACATGTAAGCAACACAAACGCTGGAACCAATTCATTTCAACATCCACATTTCATCAGGAATCATGAGCAATTCGCTGGACTACGCTATTCCGATTAAATTTCGGAAAAATTCAGGTCATTTCTATAGCCGAAAAGAGGGACAAGTATATCACAACCTAGTAGCTTAGAAACATTGAACATCTAAGCGTGACAGAGAAAGAGACGAACCTCTCTTACGGTAGAAAGCGGAAGAAGTCAAGGAGTCACTCCGAAAATCGCGAAAGCGTTGAAGCCACCGTCGCATAATAGACGAGAAATAGCCATCGAAGAACATCGGGCGGCAACGGTGCTGGTCCACGGTGACTCTGAAACGGTTTCTGAGACGAAGCTTCAAAGACCGAGCACTTTCTACCCACAGATCACCTCTGTCCACCAATCGCTCAACACCCATTTCCAATTCAGAGAGAAAAAGAGACGATTGATTCAATAGCCTACAAAACCTGTCCTGATATAGTTTTGAGACAGTGTGCATCTGGAGAGAGAAAGAAAGCCATTTAACAGAGAAAAGGCACGAGAAGGTTCGGATGCAGAGCGCCGTTGCTGATCCACTGTTTATGCGGAGAGAGCAGCTCAGCGCGAGAGTATTGTGCGCGTGTTTGCTTGTGTTTGTAGTTTCAACTGTTAATTTGGGCCGGGTACCACGTCTTGCAAACAGAGATCTTCTTACCATAATTATTCCCCTCAAAAACAATTTTTTAAAATTACTAACTTTTAAACTTATTTTTCAGACCAATCACTTTTAAAAAATTTAGAATGATGCTTAACGTTTTTAAACTTAAGAAAAATTTTAAACTCTAGATAATTTTATTCATAAAATATTATTTAAAATGACGACTTAAAAGACATCTGTTAGGTATGACCCCTAAAATGACAACTTTAAAAGTGTCATTTATTTGGATCACAAAATTTTTTTCTCGTTATATCTAATTCATCATGTTTTCAATTTTCGTTTTAATTAAATCAAATTTGTGTAATCTAAAATAATGTTATAAATTCATCAAACAATGCCCTGTTTCACTCAAATATTTACAAACCATGAACATACCCAAAATGCAACTTATGAATTTAAAAAAAATATTACATGATACTGAATAAAATACAATCCATTAAAATAAATAAATTTTGTAATTAAATTCATCATTTCTTCAATTTTCGTTTTGTGTAAATTAATTTGTCTATTCCAAAACAATATCATAAGTTCATCGAATAATGTGATTTGTCCCCCAAAATTGTACAAATCATGCGCATATGAAAAATGATACTTATGCATTACAAAAATTATTACATGACACTATAAAATATAATTTGTCAATAATGTGTTTAATGTTCAAAACAACATAGAGGTTGATCATATATACATAAACTTGATGAAATAAAAGTGTTTGATGCATCATCACTTAAATTTAAAAAATCAAAAAATTCAGGATTGAAAATAAGTAACGAATCCTCTAAAATTTCAATCTCGACATAGTTAGAATTGAAATGCTCAATTTTTGCATACTCAATTGCATGCAAACGACCAAGCCGACGTTGCATTTGATCATTTTTACGTTCAAGCCTAGTTAGTTTGAGTTCCATGGATGGTATATATCAGCTAAATGTGCCTTTGGTATTGCTAGTCAATGCCAACTACAATATACTTAAAATTTACAACGTTTGTCATATAACTCTCACTATTTTAATGTGGGTTCGATATGAGCACCCAGAGGTAGATTATAGATCGCAAACCTAACAATTACATGTCCAACATGCCTTAATCTATATCTATACTACTTAAAAAAGTGTGGATACTTGAAAAACATTTATATTCCACTTTTACCCTATTGATATAAAGTCAATCATATCCACAATGTTTTTTGTTCTTCCTTTAGTATGAAACTAATTACATTTAAATTTATTAATTACCTCTAAAATGTTTATAACTCATTGTCTCCCACAATAAATAAATCTCTTTGCTAATTAAAAAAAACCTCTACCTTGATCATCTTCATTATCTTTCATTCTGTCTTTCCTCTGCTTTGTTATATGTGATCTATATTATACTGTACTACTCTAAAATGTGAATAAAAGTGAAACAATTTTAGATCACTACAATTACCTTAACAAATTACCTAATATCATATATATCATACTATAATATCTATATCTATATCTATACTGCTTACAAAAGTCCCTTAGAATAAAAACTTTTGTTTTTCTATTTTAACCTTAATTAATTTTTAAAAGGCAATTTCATCCCTAGATTCTAACAACTTGAGAAACATAGGATTATTTCTAATACCCTTAATGCATCATTTAAAATGCAATAGATTAAAATTTAAAACATGAAGGCAACAATAAAATAACCTTTTCACATTCCCTAACAAATGAACTAGTTACAACACTATATACTTGTAGTGAATATATGTTCATTAACATTGATAGTGTATTTCAACGTGATGCAAATTTGTGACGACAAGTAAATGAAAGGAATAATATTGAAATTGTTGGGATCTGAGTTATTAGACTCGAGTGAATGATACTGAGAATTGTCGGGGAGTTGGAGAATTAACACAGTAGAAATATAGTGGTTCACCAGCTCGGGAGCTCGGTTAATCCACTCTTTAATGAAAACTCTTGCTCCTTGTCTTTCAATAATGATGATTGCAAGAGTACAATGACTAGTTTTTTGCCTCTAGGGTTCATCTTCTTTTCTTGGGGGCGTTACATAGTATTTATAGGGTTGTTTCCTATTCAGTGGGATCTTAGCCAAAATTCTTTCCCTTATTTTGTGGGATTCTCCTTGATTATAGGAGAAGATCTTGGTTGGTTGAGATTAGGTGCCTTGATTATTGCTTCCTAACGCTTTTAGGAACCTCTCGTGATCTTTCAGCTTTTGTCTTGGTTCTTATTGCCCTTGCTTATCTCGAAGGGACCTCCAACTCTACTTTTCCGAGTTCTGTTCGTCTAGTCTGACCTCCTGGGCTGAGCTGACCTTCTGAGTTGGCGTTTGGGATTTATACTGAGGTGTCATCAGTTACCCCCCTACCTCTTGGCCCAAGCGAGCTTGGGCATGGGCTGAGCTATTTTTACCTTGGACTAGACCTGCGCCTAGCTGACCTTAGCCTGCATGTGAGATGCACGTATGAGGGGCTTTTTGACGGTAGCAGCAATCATGGCTCCCTTGGTTCCCGCGCATGCCTTATCCCCATGTCTGTCAAGCCTTAAATGCTCAAAACGGCTAAAAGAAAACGTATAAAATCACTGTTCATCTTCGACACTGTTTACCTTCGTCTCCGGCTCTTTATCTTTGTGATTTATGGGCTTTCCTCCATACGATTCCCTTATTCTTTGTTGTAGACTGTGCTTTCTCGGTTTAACTCGAAGTCTTGTTTTGTTCCTCTCCTCCAATTTTGTTCTTTGGCTGCTGTTTGTTGCTCTCTTCCCTGTCTAGGTACATTTCTTTTTGCCCCTTTCTCTTTCTCTTACTTTTCCTCACTCTGGATCCCTCGAATTCAAGGTGGCCATTATTTTTCTGAATTTTTCGGTTCTTTTTTTTTTGGAAATCGTGATCGTTGCCTATCTCTTTTTCCCCGCTTTGTGGATTGAAACTCCACTGTGCGAATTCTTACTGTCGGGAGGTACAGTGTTGACCCTAGGATTATCAGGGGGTGTTTAGTTAGTATTCCTCATTTTTATAATTCTTTCAACTTGCCTTTCTCTTTCCCAGTCATGTCTGCCTCCTCTAGAGCAACTCCCTCCTCTGTTTCCCTCCTAGGCGACAGGTCTGCCGAGAGAGATTCTGATTTAGGGGATATAGGTGATAAGATTGACAACTTCTCCGGTGTTGAGGCTGTCGATACTGAGGTGGACTCTAAGAAACTCCCCTCATCTTCCTCTCATGTACCCCCAAGTGTTGACAAAGGTAAGGGGCAAGGATGAGTGGTGTGGAAGTCATTGGTTCAGGCGTAGGGGCTGCCTTTAGGAACACTGAACTTGTAGGTTCTAGTAGACTTACCCCTATTGACTTGAAGGTATTCAGTGCTCGCTTTCGTTTTCTCCTAGGGGTTCAGCCCTGGAGTCCTGATGAGTACACCACATATGTTCACCATATCCATAAGAAGGTTTATTTCTTCCTAGCAGCTTTTGATAACGGACTTCACTTTCCCCTTCATCCTTTTATCAAAGTTGTCCTTTAGCACTTCATTGTCTGTCCTGTCCAACTCTCCCCCAACTTCTAGGGTGTTCTTATGGGTTTACTAGTCTTCTTTAAGGACCATAAGCTTGGGGTCCCTACTATTTCCTTACTTATGGAGCTGTTCAATGTTAAGAAGACCTCCTTTGACGGCTTTCTGTATATTTTCAAGAGGACTAAGGCCAAATAGGTCATCTTTGACCTTCCAAGCTCCTATAAGGGCTGGAAGAAACGATTTTTCTTTATAAGCGGAACACAGTGGGAGTTCAACTCAGAGGATAAAACTGATACCCTTCCCATCCCTACAGAGTGGTCTACCCCCGATAATTTGGGTATGTTTCTGCCTAGACCATATTTACTCCAAGTTTGGCTACTTTGTTAACTTAATTCTTGTTTTCCTTGGTTTTTTAGGTATTCGACCTGAGCTCAGCGCTGAAGAGGAGCGAGTATTGCAGAAATTGAAAAAGTGCAAACCAAAGAAATATTCTAAGCTCATCCAACCTTGGGCTCTCGTAGAACACGGGTTCTGCCTTCCTAAGATGAGGGTTGAAGCTCTCCTTCCACTTTTGGTTGTTGGCACCATTCCGCTTTTCGCCGAAGATATATCAGGTAACACTTTTTCTTTGTACCCTCTCTCCTCTTTTCTTAGTCTAAGGGTGAGGCTTAGCTATTCTTAGGTTCTGCAGGTTCATCATCAATGGAGCCCACTGCTGCTGAACTCAGGGCTAAACTTTCTCAAATGAAGAATATCAAGGGCAGCAACAAGAACAACAACAAGAGTAGTGTCAAACACAAGTCAGGACCCAGCTCTATCGATGGCTTCACTCCTACTAAGGTGCCAAGAGCAGACATGTCACTCACTCCCTCTACTCTAGCTATCCCAGACTTCTCTTCCCAAGGCATTTTTCCTGCTACTCCAAGCGCTGCTGCGTTAGGACATCCAACCCTCTTTACTTCTAAGGTCGAAAGAGCTATGGAGATGACCTCTCAGATCTTGGCCTCTCTTAATCCGCCTATTGCACCAGTCAATCGTTCCCTTCCTGAGGGTTCCAAGGCTGTGAAGGAGGAGCTCCTCAAGGTAGGCAAAAGCGAGGGCTCCTTTCTTGATAACCCCGACCTTACTGTAGGGGCCCTCTCCTCTATTCTTCCCAATGCTGATATAAAAAAGGCCTTTTCACTGTCTCTTGAGGATTCAATAAGTTCTGTTCTTCACGGAT